GCCAGCACCATGCTGTTGATTTTCAGAGCTCTCCAGAAAGAGAGGTGTGTTTATTGTTCTAGGCCGCTAGTTTGTTGAGAGTGGGGCCGCCGATTTCCCTATCATTTTCCAGTGATTTGTCATGCATTGATAGTGAAATCCACCACCCTTTGGTCTTGTGCCCCCAGTTCACTACCATATCCGGCTCTGCAAAAATGGTCAATTAAGTTCTTTAGCTCCTTCATGTTTTGTGTGTTCAACTCTACCATTATTATTAGGTCGTCCGCGAAGAGAAAACATACTAGTATGGCCTCCTCTGGGATCTGTGATATCTATTTGAGGTGTTCTGCCATAGGTTGGCAAATAGTACCTCTATAATTATAAGGAAGAGGAGGGGGGTGAGGATATTTTTTTATCTCTCTCGTGAAGGATTCTTACCCACTCCTGAAGTCAAGGTCAAACTTCATCCTTTCCAAGGTCTTTGTCTACCCTTCTAAAAATCAATAAAGATGAATGTCGCATTCTGATGAATCAGATTCTGTTTTGTTTGACGTGAAATTTTAAAAAGGTTCGTTGACTTTCAAAATGTTCTCTTGGATGTTCCGACCACGGATGAACCCTGATTGGGTAGGGTGGATGAGGTTATCCATCATCTCTTATCATTCGGTTGACCAATGCCTTGAACAACATTTTACGAACTACCGTCAGTCAGGTGTGACGAGTCTGCAATTTTTAACGTTCATCTTGTCCTGTTTTTTCTATAATAGTAGAGGGAGGACCCCTTGTCCCACGATCTCCCCTATGTCCTCTATTTGCCATACATTTTTATAGTAGTGCATTAGATCGGGGCTGACAATAGTTTACGTGGTTTCACATAGCTCCTTGGGGAATCCGTTGAGTCCAGGTTTTTTTTCCTCTTCCATCCTCATCCGGTGGAGGGTGAACCTGATTTCATTTTGTTAGACAACCACCCAAAAAATCCAAATTTTTATCAGACAACCACAAAAAAAATCCAAATCGACATCATATTGCTGCTTCATTTTGTCTTTACCGTGCGTATTTGATTAGTTCATGGACCAACAATATATTATCCTCAGGCTGAATGTTTCATTTTGGCATAAACCTTATTTGATCATAGTGGATAAGAGTCGTAAGACTGTCATGTATAAGAAAAAACAGTTTGTCAGAGTCTTTGTTAGTATTTTGTAGAGGAGGGGAATTATAGTTACAAATTTGTAGTTTCTGATTTCAACTTATTTGATTGTTTCATTGAGAAGGTATATGACGTCCTCGATGTTTTGGTTTGGCATAAACGCAGTTTGTTCATAGTGGATGAAACAACTCATGTACGGAAAAATGTAATTTGCCCTAGCCTTTGCTACTATTTAGTGGGGGAGGGGAAGTAATGCGGGATCAATGAAGGTTGTGGAGTGTAGACCGATACAGGTCATATGCATGCGAGGACTTTCTTGGATGCATCTCACGACTTTTATCACTTAACATGCTGCACGATTGCAATTACATCCAGATTTAACTTGAAAGAGTCCTCGTGTGGTTATACCCACAAACACTCCTCACGAGTTTGTTCGACAGAGAAGAATTCCGATGTCTGGTCTGTAGTTTTTTATCTCAACTCGATCTCTCTTTTTGTGCAGTAGTGTCGTAATGACTTGGCTGACGACTCACTCGAAATATTTTTCATGCTAAACGGCTTGAGTGCATTGGATGAAGCTGGCCTGAAACAAATCCCAATGGTTGAGCCATAATATTTTGGGAAATGGATCCAGGCCAGGTGTTTTCTTGCCCTCCATCTTTCTGAGTGTTGTGTACGACTCTCCAGTTGAGAGAGGGGTGTACACCGTCTCCCTTTGTTGAGAGGAGAGCAAGGCTGATAAAGTGTTGACGAGTTGCTTCCTCGCCCTCTCTAGTTCCCCTAGTGTCCATTGTGTTTTTTTAACTTTTTAGATGTATAGTTTTTTGTAAAATTGGGTCGCACAGTCTACTATTTGGTGTGCATTTGTTACCTGCGGTTGACACACCCCACTACTTTTTACATGTCTTCAATGGCGAGCGTATCTTCAGCTGGAAGGTGAAAAGATATACACCATTTTTCTTTCTTTTTCGCATTTGCCAAGTAGGTATGCAGGGGCCAGAAAGTTTTCGTCAAGGGAACTGGCTGTTACCCGCAGGCAGAGAGGGACAAGAGGACAACGACATGCTCCACCGCTTGCGCAGGCCTGCGTCAATTCCTTTGAGTTTCAACTTTGCCACAGTACTCTAGGTCCTCATCGAATCCCCCTAAAACCACCAGGCGTAGACCAAGGACCAACACTCATTGTTTATAACATATCAATAAACTAAGGTATGCATATATAGATATATATATACGTACATTAGCAGAACTAAGCTATATATATATAAAAGTAAGTTATATTCTTCTACCATTACTCCTGAGCCTATACAGGGGACCCTGGTAAGCATAGCTACCCCTCACAATGAAGGGGATGCAATATCGCTCCACGTCCTAATTGGTGGTGGTCCGGGAGTACAGTGGGGCAGCTAGTTGGAGAGGCCGACAAAAGATCGAGCATTTTGCCAGTAGCTGCGCTTCCCACCTACTGTCCCCACCCCCACCGAGTAACAACAATGTGTAAGTCCAACACTCTCCCGGACACCACACAACCCCCACACACACGTACACACCGTGTTGTGGAGTTCAACCCCGTAATGAGTCCGTGAAAGTCTGATGTAACAGTCTGGGGATGGAATTGTACACCCACACACACGCACACCACTCATGTGTTCTTGAAAATTGTTGAGAGTGTTCCCGAATGTTAAATCGTACTCTTTGGGAAAGGCCGCTCTCCAAATCTGAAAATGACAATTATCACATCCGGACAAACGGGTGTTCTATTCGAATAGAACATACAGAACGCTGCGATTGTTTTCACAAATGTGTGCCCTGCAGTGCTCTCCCTGCTCTCTCTCTCTCTCTCTCTCTCTCTCTCTCTCTCTCTCTCTCTCTCTCTCTCTCTCTCTCTCTCTCTCTCTCTGTGTGCCCACGGGTGATGGCGATGGCAATCCAAGACTGCATCACTGTTCGAATGTAACGCTCAGCCAGTAGTGCGGCCGACTGTTCGAATGGTAAGTACAGTCAGGGCCCAGCTCCACTGCTCTCCACATGCACAATAGAAAAAGATGTGGCGATGCATACATCCATTATCTGGCATAATATTTATACACATTTTGTACATCTGGTGCTTTTTTTTCAATTTTTATAATGCCGAACATTTATGGATTCGTGTGAAGGTATCGGGATATACTAGATCTTTTTGTGGGGGACCTTTTGAGAAGTTAGTGCCCAAAATCCGTAGCATTACGCATGTGCGTTGTATATGAATACAACACACCCACATGCATTTTGCACAGGGTAAGACTGCAGCTGGGCACGCAACTGGCATTCAGGAAGTAGTGGGTTGGATCCCCACTACCACCTGCAGCACTCTTGGTACCCACCAACTGAGATAGTTGGCTTGTTCCCTCCCTTCGGTACTGGTAAGGTCTTTGGCCATCAGGGCTTTGCATGTGTACGTGTGTGGGTTGTGTGTGGTCTGTGGGAAACAGATGGCCATAGACACTCCTGTTACTCGATGGGTACGGGAAAAGTCGATGAGAGGCGCAGCTATTGGCAAAATGCTGCGACTAACGCATGCTCGGTCTTTGCGTCAGCCGGCCCCCCCCACCGGCGGCCCCACCCTACTCCCTTACCACCCCTATTAGGGCGGGCGAGGTGAGAGGTAGCTATGCTTGCAGGGCTCTCCTGTAAAGCCTAGAAACGCCACTTGCGTGCCTAAGCAAGGGAGAGGGGTGACGCCCCACTCGTTCATTCGGGCATGATATCGAGAGCCGCCCTTTTATGGGAAAAAAAGAAGAGAAACCAAAACAAAGGAACAACAAAGAGAGCGTTTTATGGGCCTCGTTCGACACCACTTGAAAATACTTGAGTTTCAAGGGCACCCTAACTCACGGAAGGTGATTAATTTCCCCGAACTTGCTTTTTCGTTCCATAACCCCTTGAAGAAACCCTTGAGACGGCTGTCCTTGAAACTGAAGTGCTGACGTCATTGCACCATGAACAGTGGGTGATTGGTGGAAAAAAACAGAAAACAAGAAAAAGGTCCGTATATTACTTGTTTTGAAGGGTGAAACCCTTGCGCCCCAAGTGACCTCCTGAGGCACCCTTGGGATTTTCGTCCATTTGCCTGGGCCCCACTTCTGTTTCAAGGGCGGGCACTTGGCCGCAGGGATGTGGAAACGATTAGAGACTTCAAGGGTGGGTGATTAGGGCGGGGTCGAACTGGGGTTTTCGTCCATTTGCCTGGGCCGCACTTCGGTTTCAAGGGCGGGCACTTGGCCGCAGGGATGTGGAAACGATTAGAGACTTCAAGGGTGGGTGATTAGGGCGGGGTCGAACGACGCTTCCTTGAAAAACAGCAATTTCCAAGTGGTGTCGAAAGAGGCCCTATGAATTGGTTGGGCTTCAAAGAAAAGAATTAAAAAAAAAAAACAAAAAAAACAAAAAAAAAAAACAAAAAAAACAAAAAAAAAAAACAAAGAGAGGGGGTCCCATGCCGGGCCGATTTTTCCGCATGACTCCGGACGTTGTTGTGGAGACGTGCAGAAAATCGCCGGTTGTTCTTCTTTTCTGCATCTTTACACAAAAGACATCCTGATTCAGGCCCTTCCTGGTCGGCCGTCGTAAGCTCCCGTTTTTTTTTTTTTTTGTTTTTCCTATATTCTTGTCCGCGCTGGGAAGTTCGGCAGAATCACAGAAATTCGGAGGAATCACGTTCACAGAGCGCGCTCGGGCGCGTTGCTGCCGTCTTCCCGCCCAAACACAACGCGCCCTGGTAATGAGTGTATAATATAATACAGACGCTGTTTCCGTCCCGATGCAGTCAAAATGAGGGTGCGTTGTGTCTGGGGGAATTCGCCAGCAGTTCTCACTGTTCTCACTGTTACGCAAGGCCCTGTTTCACTATCACTATATTTATAATAGCGTGGACTCGCCAGCAGCTGTAATGGGCTGGTGAGTGAGGCTCTGAGCACTTGCAATTTCGTGACTCTGCGATTTACCTGCCGCATCCTCAACGACGATCGTCGCCATGGCTGCTCCTTCCATCTCCCTTCCTACTCCCCCTCCTCCTCCCCCTGCTCCGTTTCCTTATTCCGCTGCGCTTCCCGCTCCTCCTCCTCCTCCATCCCCGCCTCCGCGCTCTTCTTCCCGTCCCCGAGACCCTTCTTCCCCGCCTCCTCCCGCTGCTCCGCCGGTTCCCGCTCCTCCTTTTGATATTCCTCTTGTCCATCGTCATAAAACATATCCTCGTTATCCTGTCGCTCTTCGTGCAGGTGGCCGGTAGCGCGGGCAGTCCCCCATCGCCCCCCGTTTTCCTGCAACCCCCGTCCTTCATCCCACTAGTCGTGAAGTCCTATTCCCCTCCGTGCTATGCCATATCGCTCATCTTTAGAGGCACGCATGTGAAGCACACGGAACGGGTCGCCGCGGTCGGCATGTTTTTGATTAATCTACTATAATTGGCGCGCTATGGCGTTGTCAATAGCCCTACGTTCTAGTAGGGGGAAGGCGACAAGCGACAGCGGTTCGATGAACGGGCTTCTTAGAGAAGGCTGATAGCGATGAAGAGGACATCCGGGAGGTGGGCCGAACGCTTGCGAGTCATCACCGAAGTCGAGAAAGACGATGTGGGTGACATCCGTGCAGCTCCTTTTTGTGTGAGATGTTATCCCGATGTTCAAGATCGGGACTGCGTGGAGAAGAGGGGCCGAAAGCGAGCCGCGGAGGAGGGAGGAAGGGACTAAGAGGGCACTGTTTCAGTACTCAGGGTTCACTTCTTCGTGCATGGGGCTGGGGCAACACATACCGGCTTACATATGCTCGATGCACTCTCTGGAGGAGGCAACTATACACACGCACACACACACGCACACACACGCACACACGCACACACACGTGCACACACACACACACACACAGACACACACACACACACACACACACCCACACAGAGAGAGAGAGAGAGAGAGAGAGAGAGAGAGAGAGAGAGAGAGATTTGTGAATGGTCTAAGTCTTCGCGTGGCTTGTGTTGATTCTGGTTCCAAGTCAGGAATTGAAAATATTTTTTGATTTATTTTTGAGAGTGAGAGGTTGTTGAGGGGTAATGTTTGTTAGTTATGTCTGAAATAATTATTTATGCTATTTGCGTTTTCTCTCTTTTGTCGTTCTTTTTCAATCCGAAAATCTTGGTTCATTTCTCGATTTGTGTCATCCTTGCGCAGGGATGTGCCATTTCTTTATGTCTTTCCTATTTTTGATGGATGTTTCGAAGGGTCGTTTTCTGTCTGCATGCATTGCTATTCAGGTTGACTGAGTACTGTCGTCCCCCGAAGGTAACGCACCCGCTCTGATGATGAATGTGCAGAAGTTATATTTCGGCTGTCAAGTAGAGCCGAAACGAGGGTGAATTATGTTCGGCGGAAGGGGGTAGCTTCCGGCAAAGGTTCCAAGTGTGTTTCGATTGTGGTGGGCGGCATTCGCACATTTCGGCTGTACGTGACCCGAAATATAGCCTGTATTCATTCATTTCCTTCCTCACGAGTGACCGCCTTCACACCTGAGATCGAACACTGTCAGGGATATTCATATCGTTCGCCGGGGGACGCAGCTGGACTCACTTTTGCAACCCCTCTAACAAACACCCGCTTAACAAACACCCCACTTCATCTGACAAACACGAACTCTATCTAATGGCCCCCCTCTTCTATAAAAAAAACACCCTCTTCTATCTAACAAAGACCCAACAACCCCCCTCTTCTATCAAACAATATCTTCTCTAACGAACACACTCCTTTATTAAACATAATTTCTATCTAACAAAAAGGCCTCCCTTGGTCATCGCCTAGATATATGCCTGCATGCAGCTGTCGTCTGCAATATATATGTGTCGGATATGTTTGTTTTGTCGTTCTTTCCTAATTCACGGATTCGTGCCGATGTCTGCAATTGCCAGTGTAGCGGATTTTCGTTAAAATTTGTGGAGTTGGCCTTTATCTGGTCAGCTATTTATGGAGCGACTACTTCGGAGTGCTTGAGCGATTCCATTAGTTGATCGAATATATGGAGTGCTTGATTCGATGGATGGATTGATTTTGATGGATTATATGGAGTGATTGATTCGATGGGTGGATTGATTTCGATGGATGGATTGATTGGATGGATTGATTTGATGGAGTGATTTGATCGATTGATTCGATGGATTGATTGGTCTGGATTGATTTGATTGACTGATTGATTTGGTGGATTGGTTCGATATATTGACTTGATCGATTGATTCGATAGATGGATGCGATCGATTGATTTGATCGATTGATTTTGTATCTGTGGTTAGGGCCTTTTCCGGACGAACATATTGACATTGATTTGATCGATTGATTGATTTCGTATCTGTGGTTAGAGCCTTTTATGGTGGCTGTTGAACAACTGTTTGAGAGGTAGTGAACCATGATGGAGTTTATAGATCGGTTTGGCTGACTTGATTGGTTGATTGGTTGATTGATTGATTTGATTGATTAATTCGATTGATTAATTCGATTGATTGATGGAAATTGCTCATGGTCGGGGATTCAAGGGGTGATAGCTCGTAAGCGGCAACGGTCGGGGATTCAAGGGGTGATAGCTTGTAAGCGGCAACGGAAGGAGGGAATGTGAAAACAGAGTACATTCTCTCTTTTTCTGGGTAACACTCGGCTAGCGCACGGTGTACTCTTAATTGGTTGCAGATCAATTGAAACTTCGGTTGAATCGACTGAATGGATGGTTTGATCGATTAATTGAAGCGAAGATGAGCGAAATATCTAGAGTAGAGAGGATCTTGCAATCGCAAAACGGAGTTAGAGCAGGAGAAAGCGTCCACTGATTGGATGGCTTAATCGATTAATCGAAGCGAAGATTTAAGGAGAGAGGATCTTGCAATCACAAAACGGACTTAACAGGAGAAAAGAGGCCATCCTAATTGTAAGTGCTGCGCTCGGTGTTTTCTGCTCGGCTATTCAGAGCGGTTGAAGGTTAATGGAATGGTTTTGATCGATTTGATTTTCATGTGCTGCGCTTGGTCTGATCTAGGTGGCTATGGATGGACGGATGGAGTAGGTGAGTGGAGATGGCTCTGATTGATCGAAGGATTGACTGATTGATCGAAGGATTGACTGATTGGGCGATTGATTGATCGATTGATTGATTGATTAGCTGATGTGATAGATGGATGGATGGAAGTGCTTGAATGGATTTGATTGATCGAGGATTTATCGGTCGATAGATTTGATTGATTGATTGATTAGCTTATTCGGTTGATGGATGGAAGTGATTGAATGACTTCGATTGGTCGTAGGATTCGGGTGGATGGATGGAAGTGATTGAATGGCTGTCTCTTATACACATCTAGATGTGTATAAGAGACAGGAGTAGCAGATTCGGTTGATGGATGGAAGTGATTGAATGGCTTTGATTGGTCGTCGGATTCGTAGGTCGATATATTGATTAATTGATTAACTGATCGGTTGATGGATGCATGGATGGATGGTAGTGAATAATGCTTTTTGATTGATAGAAGGATGGATTGATTGATTGATTGATTGATTAGCCGATCGGTTGAGGGATGGAATTGATTGATGGGACGAACAATGAGACGAAGAGGAGAGCAATGATTGATTAGCCGATCAGTTGATGGATGGAAGAGGAGAGGGACAGTGGACTTCACTGTGCCACAACACCAGACGATCTCCTTATTTACCTCGAATTGACTTTCCTTCTTTCCTTTTTTTTTTTGACACTTACTGAAGAGTTATATTGGAGCAAAACGGTAGTTCGGTAGTTGGCTCAGATTTGAAGTTCCTTGGGAAAGTAAAGACTTGTGAGCACGAGGCGAGGCATGTGTCCGCACGGGCAGGTGTGTATTAGTCATCCTCACTGTAATATAGCCGTCGTTTCCACAAGCAGAACGCAGCCTGAATTTGAATGTATACAAGCCATTTTTCCACTGTAATATAGCCGTCGTCTCCACGAGCAGAACGCAGCCTGAATTTGAATGCATACAAGCCATTTTTCCGGGATGGTGCAGTCTTGATGAGGGCATGTTGTGTGGGAAAAGTGTTGCTGTAGCCAAATGGGGTGTGGCTGGACCGGCAATTTGCAAGTGCAGCATCTTTTCCTTACTTGATCGTGTCGTTGGCGTAGCTCAGCTCTGGGGGTATCTTCGTGCAGTGTGATATCCAACTATGGGGGTATCTTCGTGCAGTGTGATATCCGAGAAAGCACAGGCCGCCGAGGGAGCCTCATGTCTAACACCGCTTTCCCCCGAATAGAACGCCCGGTCATTACAGCTGTACTTGGGGGGCCATTTTCGGTCTAGATTCAGCTATAATGAGCAGGCATTCTACACGTTTGTCGCCCTTTTTGCCATACGTTTGTGGTATCTGTTGCGGTCAGTTTAATATCTGATCCGTGGTCCATCGGGGGTTGATGATGTCCCCTATGATGTCAAATTAATCCTCCACAAATTTCTGAATTGCATGGAACGTGATGAGTAAAACCAAATATTTCTGAATTGCCTGGGGCTGGTCAGCTCAATGATCATATCTCAAGACCGTTGCCCTTATTAAAAAAAGAAAAAAAAAGATAAATAAATGAATAAAAAATGCAACGTGTTCTATTCATGACGGTGGTTTCTTGATGTCTCGTTCTGTAAATCTGAACCGTGCTATCTATATATGGCGCAATTCCTTCCTGTGGTTGGAGCGAGCTATGTTGTGGTTTCAAAGCAGCTATGGTATTCGTGGCTGGGTCGATAGTCTCCGATTAAGCAATCAGGACCTTGCCTCATGTCTTGATCAAGCCCTGACCTGACACGCTTTGATGTTGTTGGTTGCTATGCAGCGAAGATATTGGCCATTAGACACCGCCATGTGGGGTTTGGGGGGGGGTAGGGGGTGGTGCAGTGACTGGCCATTGCTCGGTGCTAGCACCACCGATTTATGCCGCATCGGCAATGCCTGCCCACCCCTTGTCACCATGCCGTTCGCCTCAAGCACCACGTATGGCTCTCGTATCACTCACAACCTCGATCCCCAACTCACAGATGCCACATGCACCCAAAGACCACCATGCGCCCCATCCAGCATACAGCAGCGCAGCTCGGCTATGGCTGCCTGCTCCTCCCAGCTTGCCCGTGAGCGCTGGCCAGCGCTTTGACAAAGCTGGCAGTGCCAACAGCCCTAGCTCAGTGGGTATACACGCATGGCCTGTTGAAATACAGACCCAAAATCGATTCCAAATCCCATGGCCTGTTGAAATACAGACCATCCAGCGGCCTAACTCAGTTGGTAAGTCTCACAAGTGGGATTCAGGAGGCCGTGGGTTCAATCCCCATTGGTCTCCTGTTGCATCTTCCTGGGCATGCTTGCTGGGGTGTGTATTTCAACAGTAGAGGGGTCTGTTTTTCAACAGTTGAGGGGTCTGTATTTCAACAGTTGAGGGGTCTGTATTTCAACAGTTGAGGGGTGTGTATTTCAACAGTTGAGGGGTGTACCATCTGAGCTAGGTATCTGATGATAACCATGGCGGCTTGATTACGATGCCTGATCTAAAGGCGGGCTATGAGAGATGGCGGATCGAGTAGGTTTCTGCCGCCGTGGATGCTCTTTCTCCCTCCGGACTGCCAGCGAGGGATCATTGACGGGCTCGGCGGTTTGGGCTTGCTATGTGGCTGTGTTGTGGTAAGTGTTGGCCACGGTCCGCCAATCTTCATCGGTCAGCTTTTTGGTTAGATGTGATGCAGGTCACGAGCAGCTGAGATGCTTTTGAAGTTGATGAAGGAGGAGGTGGAGGTTGGGAGAGAGAGAGAACATGACATGTTTGGGGGGGGGGGGGGGGGGGGGGGGGGGATTAGGGTTGTCAAGGAATTATGTAGATTGTCCGCTGTTTTTCATAAGTGATAAGACTGATGGTTGAGGTGCTAACTTCCTTCTGATTACAAGCCTATAAAATCCCTACTGAGTGTTTATTTTGCTGTCATAAAACATGATTTGGATTTTTCTGACGATTATGCATTATGTGATGCTGATGTGACCTGGGAATTTTTTCAGAGGTTTTTGAATAATCTCGTTTTTATGATTGTGCTTTGTTTAAAATCTAATTCATGAGATCTTAGGTGTTTTC